TTTTCAATATATTTGTGAGGAAGAAAAATACTTTTCCATGCTGCAGTTCGAGTTTGATGTTGCTTCAGATCCTTGCTTCGAAATATCTTTTGAGCTTCCACTGATGCCTGGAGTAATCAAAGTTTTGACTCATGCCATATGTCCATTCAAGGAGGATGTGAGGTTGATCCATCAGTTCTGTGCTGATATGGTTTTTGAAGACCATGTGATTCCTTCATGGTTCCAAGAGTTTAAGGATCTACGCCACCTAATGGCATTTGTTGAGAGGAAGCTGGAGAGATTGATTATTAGTGCACCACTGCAGTCTTTGTTATTTGAGAGCTTATGAGGTATCGTCGGGCACACGACGTTAAAAATAGCGCTTCTCGGAAGGCAACCCGAGCTTACTTCTGCATTTGTTGTTGTTGTGTTTGTTTTGTGTGTTTTGTTTTTGCAGCTCAAGGGCTTGCTTTGGGGATGATGTGCCGAGGACCACTCAGACTCAGTTTAGTTCTGCACCGACCAGCGCCCTAGGAAAGTTTCTGCGACTCTTATAATCGCCTATTTGTAATGTTGACTTGAGTTAAGATTGAGCACGTGTGACCCTTTCCTCTTTACCCCCTTGTGCATAGTGCATATTTGGTCATCGAGGGCGATGCCAAAGTTTATGCGTGGAGGAGCGAATTGGGCATTCGGGCAGTAGTTGTTACATGTGATTTTTAGAGTTTGCATGCGCAGGTGTTAGTTGTATATTCATAGGAAATTCATGTCAAATTTTTGAAATTTTTTCTTTAAACTGTGTCTTTGTGAGCTGGCTAACGATTGACTGTGCTTTTAGGACACCCTTGAAGTGTTTAGGCTTAAATTGCTTGCAATATAATCTAATTGTTGAAAGGATGAAGGCATTAGTCACCCATTTAATTCATAATTTTTCCATCTCACCTGAAAAGGTCCTTTAGGAAAAGCCACTTTGAGCCTGACCATTTTGTTCCTTACCCAATCAATTGAGCTTCATAACCAAATGGTCTGTGTTCCTTACCCATGAATATTTCTGACTTAGCCTTGTCATTTAGGGAACTAGAGGATTAATTTGTTAAGTTTAGGGAATTTGTGTAGGAGCCATTTTTGGCACTGTTCCTAAGCCCCAAATGAGGTAACATCAGTCACTTTTTAGGAATTTGATATTTTCGAGGATTGCATTGTATGCATGGATTCACTATTAATTTAATGAACTTTGATTGCTATTTTTCCTTGGTGAGGCCGAGATTAGAATGGGGTAATGTCTAGTGAGAATCCGAAAGGTGAAAAATTAATATAGCTAGACATCTTACCTTGCGAAAAAGAGAATGGGAGCCCCGGTCAAAAAACGTAAGTGTTTTGCACAATAAGATGAGACCTTGGGAATCTTTCGAAAGAAATGGCGTTCTCGTACCAACATGACAAGGAAAACTAAACTTAATTAATTGAACTTGGAGGTTATTGCAAAACTAGCATTAGACCTTCGCGTACTTCAAGTATACGTCAAAGCACCAATGTGCCGCGGCGGTTTAGCTTAGTTGTACACCATGTCTACTATTTGCATAGGTTTAGATGATCATTCCTAAATTGTGGCCTACTGAGTTCCTTGATCCTAAGAAGAGCCCTAAAGTTCCTGAATAAATTGAGTCTTTGTTAGAATATTCCAATCTCTCAAAAGAAAGGGACTGTTTATTACCATTCACCATTCACCATCACCTTCACAAGTCCTTCTGATAAATAATTAGTTTATTTGTGTTATGATGTCATTACTTCGAGGATGTTGTGAGTACTTCCGTCAAATAATTTAGCTTGAGTACAAAGATGTAGTTTAGGGAAGAATTTTCTTGATTTAGATTGTCTGTTCTGCGAATATCCCTTTAACTACATGTGCATGCTAATTGTTTTGATCCCGTGTGGTGATTATCGTAAGTTCCGTTGCTCAATTTGCTTGAGGACAAGCAAAGGTTTAAGTGTGGGGAGATCTGATAAGTCCGTATTTAGACACGCATTTGATGCGTGTTGAGATCGGCTTTTGATGATTTTCCTAGCTTTAAGGTGTTACAAGTCTCAATTTTTAGTTCAAGTTGTGATTATCAGGCGTTGAGTCGAGTTTTGTTGCATTTGGAGTCAAATTGAAGAAGTTAGAGTCCGACAATGGGCGCTTGAGAGACCATCGGGAGGAGCTAGAGAGCATTCAAGAAAGATTTGAGAGATTTGGAGGTCACCGGGTGATTCACGGCGAAATTTTGATGTAGAAAGAGTATTTGGATTGACCCCGTTTGCATGCGGGAGCGTTTGGGGCAAGAAAACAAGAAAAGGAGAAAAAAAGGGACGCACGGTCGGGCGTCTGGTACGCACGATCGTGCGTCGGATACGAAATCACGAAGTACTGTCTGTCTGCTACGCACGATCGTGCGTAGCCAAGGACGCACGATCGTGCGTAGCCCCGAGTTACGCGCTGAAATTTCCCACATCGACCAGAATTGCGATTCCCCCTGTTTTCTATAAATAAGGTCTCCCTAACTCTTGTTAGGGGTGACGAACATTACGGAGAGGCCTAGGGACGAATTTAACACCGTTTTTACGCTATTTTCTTCCAAGACCCTGGGATTATTTGTAAGTTCATCTTTTTAATTAATGAGAATTTATTCTATTCTTCCCAATTCTGTTGATTCTTCAATTATGAATTGTGAGTAGTTTAATTAGGGATTTGGGATTGATGAAGGGGTTAATCATGATTGATGGCTAGATTCTTTTCGATTTAAATGCATTAATGCCGTTTGATTTATGTTTGAATAATTTAACTGATATCTTTTGTAACCTGGAACCGCGGCTAGAATTACAATTGCACATAGAATAAATTAAGAGAGATCTAGTTTATTCTAGGACACATTCACACACACTTAATCGTTGGCTAAGAGATTAGTAGCGATTAAGGGGCCGTAAGCTCGCTCGTTTTGGCAATAATTTAGAATCTTGTCGCATTAGAGATCTGACTGGTCCCCTAAATTATTGTACTCTACGCCGCGAGAGCGGTAAGAACTTAATATTGATTAGCTAGGCTCAATTAAATTAATTTCATGTAATTAGGCCTGATCTGCCAGAAATCTGATTACCCCGGAATCAATCCCTGCTCCCTTCGTCGTTAATTAGAGAGAACCCAATCTTTTATTTTAATCATTTGATGGATAGTCTACCCGGGGGTATATATCCGAAGGGTTATTACGGGGAATAACTTAGAGAGAAGTCAGAGCAAGTAAGTAAAAGTAGAGAGAGAGTGTATTCAGTATGAATGCCGTTTTCAGCGTGGTTACAAATGAGGAAATGGGGTGCTATTTATAGTAGCAATAAATGCCGGGCAGGGACACGTGTCAAGCGCTCATTGGCCGAGGGGTCACCTCAACTGGTTGGCGCTGGCAGCCGCATGTGGCCGCATTTAATGCGGCTGTTGGATGGGACGTCTATGCGGGGTACGGTTATCTGTGCGCATGTGAGGCGGATATCTTGTCGAGTTAGATGCCTTCGGCTATAGAGCAGTAGCCGAGGGCTCTTCCACCCGATGGCACCCTGGTGCCGAGGGCTCACAATGCCGAGGGCTACTGTTTTCGCTGTTTTCTCCCAGTTTCTTAATTTTCTTGAGAAACCCGTTCTGTGAGAATTTAGAGCCTCCGGCCAGGGGGCCGAAGGCACCCCTGGCGCGTAGTGCGGACTGCTTGGTACTCTGGGCGCTGTGATTTGGGCCTGTTGGGCCTTTTGGGCCTTTAGGGCCTTCGCTGGAGTAGTAGGAGTCTGTGGGCCGGGGGTTCCCGGGCCATATACTCCATCAGGAGTCCCTCACTCCTTTTGCCGAAAGGTACTTGAGGGAAAAGGAGTAATTTGTGCTTGCCCCTTGATGTTGTCCCGTCGTGATCTCTGAAGTTGGTGAGGAGTTGTTGCTTTTATGTCCCTGCCGAAGGCAGTCCCTCAGTTACCCACATGTCGGGACTTGAGGGCTTGCTCTGTTGTTTGTTGGAATTTCTACATCTTTTGTAATTTAATGATTTTCCCGAGGGGGTCCTCCAGTCCCCCACTCCTTGAGGCACTTGTAAAGTGGTGAAAAGGAGTAGAGTAGTTGCGTTGCTGTTGTGGGCCGAAGGCTGACGCTTTTCGTTTCATTTTGGGGGGATGCCTCGTTAAAAACCTCATTAGGAAAAACCCTGGGGGAAAAAATCCTAATGAGGGAAAAAGAGTGCACCGAATTCCCCCAATGATGAATCGAAAATGTCAAACCTTGGTCAAAAATGGAGAATACGGTAATGCCGAAGGCTCTTCTTTTCCTGAGGGCTCATGTATTGATCAGCCGAAGGCTTGCTGTTGATATCCTGGGGGTGCCGAAGGGGAGCCCCTCAATCCGGGGATCGAGGGCCTGCTGGATGAGGGCAGTAATTTAACTGTCGCCGGGGGGTCCACTGTTTGTTGATTAGTTTGTGATGAAGATACCCGAGGGCTCCCATTACCTGTGTGCCACGGGTTATTCGTCAATGAGGTAACTCCCCGGGGGCTACCCGGTTTTGCAGCGCTGAGGGGGAATCCCCGAGGGGTGCCCTAATATGAAGCCCTGGGTTTCTGAGGGATTGATCCCGAAGGCGTCTGTTATGTGCTGTGTGGGGCACAACCCGGGGGCACTTCTGAGTGAGTGTACCCGGAGGCTATCCTTGATGAAGTGGAGTGAAGTAGAAAACCCGGGGGCTTCCAGAATATAGCCGTTGGAAATATAGCCGTTGGAATATGTAACGACAGGCTATAGCCGTTGGGGGGTGTCACACGTGGCGTGTGATGGCTGGCTGTTCGCGGGCGGCGTCACCGGTTGGGTGAAACGACGGTGTGTAATGATGGCGGTTCGTCCGGAGGCCCGGTTTCCGGGCCCAAGCCCGGATTCCAGCGCCTATAAATACCCCAAGGCCAGAGCCATTTCCTCTTGTGCGATCATTTGTCTTAGCGAAGCTCTGCCCAAAATTCTAGTGAGAGAAACTCAGGCCTTCGGTCACAACTTCTGCTTTCAAGGTCAGTGCCCGCTTTCCCTTCACCTCTTAGCTACTTGTACTGTGCCCTTAGGTTAGGAGATAGAAAATTTAGAAAACACTAGCGTCTACGAGCCTTCGAACTAGAGTCAGCATGTCGTCCCAGAGTGATTCCCAGGATATCTCGGGGGAGCCTTCGGTAGAGATGGAGACATGCTCAGATGTGGAGTCTTCGAGTGTGGAGTCCTCGGCAGGTGGTGATGCCGCAGTGGCCATGGAAGTAGAGAAGGACCTCCAGGCCGAAGTCGAAGCCGAGGGCTTCGAGCAAGAAAACGAGGATGAAGAGCTTGCCCTCGCCCCCCCCCCGGGGTGCCGGGGAAGCCAGCTCCTCCCGGCCATTGGACCCGACGCCCATAAGTGTGGCTCCCGGGAAGAAACACAAGACGAAGGTGGCCCCGAGGAAGAAGCAAGCGGCAGTGGATGCCGGGCGGCCGGTGGGCATACCCGAGGGCCATTCGTTTTTGAATACTGCTGCTCTAGAGCTGAAGACGAAGGCATCCCCGGCAGAATACCAGTCCACCCAGATGCTGGTTGGACCTTCAGCGCGCGTGGTGGAGCCCAGGGCGGATGATTTGCTGCGATACTCGCCCGAGGGGTGCTTTGCTGCTCACACCCTCTCGGTGGAGATGGGGCTCCGGTTCCCGCTCCATCCTTTTCTCTTGGAGTATCTGAGATTTGTGGGGTTGGCCCCTTGCCAGCTAACGCCCAACAGCCACTCCTATGTGGCCGGCTTCCTCTCCTTGTGTCAGAGCCGGGGGGGTCGAGCCCACACTCGATCAATTCTTCATGTCCTTCAACCTTTGCCGGGGGGACATTCAAATGCTGAGGGCTTTGCCAACCTTCAGCAGGTACCGGAGTTCCGGATTTTTGATGATGTGCCCTCGTCTCACAAGGGGTGGAAAGAGAGATTCTGCTATATCCGCCTCGAGGAGAATCCCTTCCCGGCCCAGCTCCGTAATAGCTTTCGGCGCCTCCCGAAGGTGGGGAGCGCAGTTTTGGAGAAGAATGGCAAAGTTCTTGCCAAGAAGCCGGAGGGGTCTGACAAGCATGTCAAGATCAGAGAAGTCACCCTTCCGGAGGATTTGCTTAGCCTGGGCTTCCGGCAGTTCAGGCCGAGGGGCTCTTCGGATGAGAGATACCCTCCCCTCGATAGGGTCTTCGAAGGCGCCGGAGGTGATCACCGAATTGTTCACTGATGCGTTGATAGTTCTCTCTTATTCCGCTTTTTTTTTATGACGTAGTAACTGGTAGCCTTCGATCTAACCCTCCTGTTTTTTTTTTGTTGCTTGCAGGTAACAATATGGACGTTGGTTCCCTCTTCGCTTTGAAAAACGCGAAAGGAAAGAAGAAGGCCCCGGCGGGCGCTTCTGCCAGGGAGGGGCCCTCTCAAACTGCTGGCGCTGCTGCTGGCGCCGGAGGGTCCAAGGGTGCTGGGTCCGTCAAAAAGAAGATTGCTGGAAAGGGGACCGAGCCCCTGGCCAAGAAGCCGAAGACCACCGCCCCTACCAAACAACCGATCACCGATGTGGTGGTGATTGTGGACGAAGGGCACGCTTCTGCCTCCACCCCCCAGGAACAAATCAATCAGGAGTTCTTTGGGCGGGAGAGGTTGGAGGCGATAGTACCGAAGGGGGCCTCTGTGTTGGAGGGCAGTTTGAACCCTTCGGCTCTGATGAGCCAGATGCTGCCGTCGGCCGACCGACTTGCCCTTGCCCGGCTGGACGAGGGATCCCTCGAGGCGAAGGTCCTCCTGAATGCTGCCTCCGTAAGTCACCCTCCCTTCTTTGCTCATTGTTATGTTTTCCTCCTGTACTATGTTCATTATGCCTTATTCTTGCCTTCGTGAATTGCAGGCTTTTATGGGCCTCTGCGAGCACCTCCGAAGGGTGGATCAAATGAGGGAGGCCGAGGGTGCCGCCGAGGGGGAGGCCGCCCTTCTCAGTAAGAAGCTTGCTGAAGCCGAGGACTCTCTCCGGCTGGCCACCGACGGCATGGAGCAGAGGGTGCAGGCTGCAAGGGCCGAAGGGGTCAATGAGGGGCTAGCCAGGGCCGGGGAGGCCGCCGCCGAGGCCGCCCGTATTGCTGCCGATGAAGCCCGCGCGGCTCAAGAAGAGGCCGTCTCCAAGGCCCGAGAGGATGCGGTGACCAACTTCATGGCCGAAGGGTGGAAGGCCGAAGACCGGAGGGAGTGGCTCGCTTCGGTGGTGGGGGCTTCAGTAGACGAGTGGGTCGGGGGCCCCGGAAAGATGTGGCTTGCTGAGAGGGGCGACTCGTACTACCAAGGCGGGGAGTTCTTCACCCAACGCCTCATCTACCGGAAGCTTGCGAAGCACTTTCAGGTGGCACCGGAGGAGTTCCGTCCCGAGGCTTATGGCTTCCCCCCCCCCCCCCCCCCCCGCCACCCAAATGTCAGGATCCCGCTCCCCGAGGGGGAAGAGAGATCGGTTCTTGAAGACTCGGAGACCCTCCGGGAGTGCGGCCTTGGCGGTGAAGAGGATGAAGCCGAGAGCGAGGCGATATCTACAGTTCCCCCTTCTTAAATTGTATTCCCCCCTTTTGGTGTTGTAATTTTTGGCCTCGGCCCCCTTTGTAAAGCACAATCAAACTTCTCTTTTTTTTTTGAATGAATGAGTACACACGCCCTCGGGCCTTTGATATACAATCTGCTTCCTTTGGATTTGTTTATTGTCGAATGCATGCCTTCGTCTTGATTTGGATGTATGCCTTGATCCTTTGAATGTATGTTTTAGGGCTTAGAATATTTTCTGATTGTAGCTTGCCACTGGAAGCCTTCGGTAGTTGGGCACCCTCTGCTGGATATGCAACTGAGGGTTCTGTAGGAATTAGGACTTAGAAAATTTTTCTAAGTGTAGCACACCTTAGGGCCTTCGGGTGTTTGCAGTAACCCAATTCCTAGGACTTAGAAAAATTTCTAAGTGTAGATTTTCCCTTGGGAGCCTTCGGGTGTTTGCAGTAACCCAATTCCTAGGACTTTGAAAAATTTCTAAGTGTAGATTTTCCCTTGGGAGCCTTCGGGAGATGGCATCCCTCCTTGATGTAAGAGTAGTTGACCGGGGGGAAAATATGCAGGACTTAGAAAATATTCTAAGTGTAGATTTTCCCTTGGGAGCCTTCGGGAGATGGCATCCCTCCTTGATGCATGAGTAGTTGACCGGGGGAAAAGCATGTAGGACTTAGAAAATATTCGAAGTGTAGATTTTCCCTTGGGAGCCTTCGGGAGATGGCATCCCTTCTTGATGTATGAGTAGTTGACCGGGGGGGGGGGAAATATGTAGGTCTTAGAAAATATTCTAAGTGTAGATTTTCCCTTGGGAGCCTTCGGGAGATGGCATCCCTCCTCGATGCATGAGTAGTTGACCGGGGGGGAAACATGCAGGACCTAGAAAATATTCTAAGTGTAGATTTTCCCTTGGGAGCCTTCGGGAGATGGCATCCCTTCTTGATTCTACATCACTTTGCGAGATGCCCGGGGGCTGGCCTTCGGCTACCATACTCCCTTGGCTGTAATATTGATTGGGCCGGGGGGCAATCTTTAGGACTTGGAATTTTTTCAAGTGTTGCTTCCTTGTGTAGCCTTCGGGTGATAGGTGCCCTCTGACTCTACATTACTTTGCGTAAATTGATGTTGAATCCTGTTGTTGTGAAGAAAGCCAATGAGGCGTGTGTGCCCTCGGCATACACTTTAAAAGATGTAGAATTTGACCCTTGTCATGGGGAAAAGGCCCTCGGTACTAGTGCGTCACAGATGCCTTCGGTATATGTTTGAAGGTACCGTCTTAGTGTACTTTGGATAGTTCAGTCCCTTTGTATTGTTGAAGCCTTCGGTGTTTGTGTGACCGGAGGTGGCCAGGCAGTGGATTTAGCCATTCCTTGCTGCTATTTGTTCGAGTAGTGTCCTTCGGGAAATAGGAGCCTTCAGTTACCGGAGGTGTTCCCGTGGGGAGCTCTCGGTTTGTTGTGATCTGTTGGAGTGTACTCTTTGATTTCTCGCTGAGCCTACTCCCTTTCACCCCTTTTTTTTTTGTTGGTGGTGAAGGGAAGGCATCAAGAAACTTGGTTTCTTGGTAAGGCTGGGCCTATTAGGAGACCATTAGAATACACCAATGGCTCTCCTCCCTCGGGTTAACCTTCCGAGTTCCGAGGGGATCGAGGGACGTTTCCTGGGCACAAGATATGGTGGTCCGTAACCTGCCTCCCCTTGGGGGATGGCGCGGAAAGCGCCTCATTTTTGAAAGTCGTCCCCTCGGCGCTAGACATAGTTCGTGGCCTGCCACACCCTTGGGGTGGTGGCGCGGGGAGCGTTTCGGTTTGGAAGTCGAATCCTGGGCATTTCTCATGCCTGTCATACCCTGGGGGTAGTGACGCGGATAGCGTTCCGTTTTTGAAAGTCGAATCCTGGGCATTTCTCATGCATGTCATACCCTGGGGGTAGTGACGCGGAAAGCGTTTCAAGGAAGGGTTTTCATTTGCACACTAGTTGCAAATGGCCGGGGGCACTACGTGCGCCGGCACCGATGGTGGCGCCTTCGGTATATGCGTCCTCGTGGGGTACGGCTTTTAGAAACAACACTTGGTGTTAGTTTCGATGTGTAGCTCCCGGTACTTGGTACCGAGGGGTCTTCTGTAGGAACACTTGGTGTTCTCTTTTGTCGTAGTTGATGTAGGCGTCTACCCTCGGTACTTGGTACCGAAGGGTCTTCAAATGAAACACTTGGTGTTTCCCAACAGATGTTTGGAAGTTGATAGGAGAGCATATCTCTGGCACTGGGTGCCGAGGGGTCTTCTTTGAAACATTTTGGTGTTTTTTCTTCGTTTCGATGTTTGATGATGGAGGTGTACCCTCGGCACTGGGTGCCGAAGGGTCTTCTGTTGGAACACTTGGTGTTCTCATTTTTTCTTTTTTTCTTTTTTTTGATGAAGGTGGGAATGTACCCTCGGCACTGGGTGCCGAAGGGAAATGAAACACATGGCGTTCCTTGTTGTTGGTGATAGGAGTTCCCTCCCTCGGCACTGGGTGCCGAGGGGTCTTGACTGAAAACACGTGGTGTTTTCACTGTTTGTTGTAGGTGTTGATGGTGTCCGCCCTCGGCACTTGGTGCCGGAGGGGGTTCTTCTCGTGGTGAGGCCTGGGGCCTGTAGTCAGTATGAGGGCTTGATGTCTTGAATGTATCTTCATTCTTCGAAATTGGAGGCCTTGGGCCATAGGATAGTACATTCACTAGTTATGAGGGCTTGGCCGCTCTTACATTATTGATAAAATTTAACTAAATGGTGTACATTCCAGTGCCTAGGGACTTCTTTCCCATTGGGGCGTTTGAGCTTGTAGGTCCCGGGTTTGATGATGGCTGCTATGATGTAGGGGCCTTCGAATTTTGGTGCCATTTTTCCTCCCTCGGTTGGTTGGCTGGCTTCCCTCCTCCGGAGGACATAGTCCCCCACTTGAAATTCTCGGGTGCGAACTTTGGCGTCGATGTAGCTTTTAACTTGCCTTCAGTAGTTTTCTGCCCGGATGAAGGCCTGCTCCCGGCGTTCTGAAATGAGGTGGAGGTCGAGGGCCATGTTGCTGTCGTTGACCTCGGGGTCATATTGGATCACCCTTCGGGTGGGAAGGGTGACTTCCGTAGGAGCTTTGGCTTCAAAACCGTAGCAGAGGGAGAAGGGTGTTTCACCTGTTGTCATTATGGCGGTCCCGGGACTGAACTTCCTGGGAGGACGTATCTTGGGCCACCACCCCTTCGTCGTTTCTCACCCGAGGGGTGGGATTTCCGAAGGGGTGTGGCAGAGGGGGAAGTATGATATTTTCCCCGATCTGAGGGTGAGCTGGAGCCAGGGTGCCGAAGGCACCCGGGTTCTGGGTGAGCGTCTGGATGAAGGCGGAGAGCGCCGATTGCACGTCGATGGTGAGAACCGGAGGGCTGACTTGGTCATCGCTCCGGTTTTTCTTCTTGGCCTCGATGCCGAGGCGGGCATCGGGGGCATTTTGTTGGATCTGAAGGCATAGGTCGACAGCCGCCTGTTCCAGCCCAGCGATGACACCGCCCTCGGGAGCCCTGTGAGAGGCTTCGGGGGCGTTGACGTCGCCGAGGGCCAGGTTCTTGTCTTCTACGTTCTTTGAGTTGGCACGTGTTGTCCTCACCATTTTGATAGAGGGCTAGTGTTTTGTGTTTGGTCGAGGGGGAGGGTTTCTTACTCGATTGTTCAACCTCTCAATGAGAGCACCAAATGATGGATAGTCTACCCGGGGGTATATATCCGAAGGGTTATTACGGGGAATAACTTAGAGAGAAGTCAGAGCAAGTAAGTAAAAGTAGAGAGAGAGAGTGTATTCAGTATGAATGCCGTTTTCAGCGTGGTTACAAATGAGGAAATGGGGTGCTATTTATAGTAGCAATAAATGCCGGGCAGGGACACGTGTCAAGCGCTCATTGGCCGAGGGGTCACCTCAACTGGTTGGCGCTGGCAGCCGCATGTGGCCGCATTTAATGCGGCTGTTGGATGGGACGTCTATGCGGGGTACGGTTATCTGTGCGCATGTGAGGCGGATATCTTGTCGAGTTAGATGCCTTCGGCTATAGAGCAGTAGCCGAGGGATCTTCCACCCGATGGCACCCTGGTGCCGAGGGCTCACAATGCCGAGGGCTACTGTTTTCGCCGTTTTCTCCCAGTTTCTTAATTTGCTTGAGAAACCCGTTCTGTGAGAATTTAGAGCCTCCGGCCAGGGGGCCGAAGGCACCCCTGGCGCGTAGTGCGGATTGCTTGGTACTCTGGGCGCTGTGATTTGGGCCTGTTGGACCTTTTGGGCCTTTTGGGCCTTCGCTGGAGTAGTAGGAGTCTGTGGGCCGGGGGTTCCCGGGCCATATACTCCATCATCATTCATTCACATTAGTTTAATTTTAATTCAACCAACCAATCTCGCACGTCGCATTTATTTTATTTTATTCCTCTTTAATTGCTGAATTTAATTAATCTTTAATTCCCTTTTGTCCGTCCCTGTGGAGACGATACTCGTACTTTCACCACTATTCTACTATTAATTTAAGTGCGAGAAAACTCACATCAGTTTTTGACGCCGTTGCCGGGGACGGTGTCGGTTTTAAGGGTTAATTAATTTCAGCGAGATTTTTTTTTAGTTAGTTTTTCTTTTTGTTTTCCATAGGATTTTCTGTGCTAACCTTTGAGGTTTTTTTAAGAAACATGAGATGAACCCATTCAACGAAATTTCAGAAAAAATTCCTTACCCTCAAACCTCCATGGAATATTCACCATTTACGCAATACTCTCCTTACATTCCTCCTCCTCCTCAATATTACACACCTCATCAAAATTACTCTCCTACACCACAACTAAGTATTTGAACAACAAGTAAAATGTGAGATGTTGTTGGAGATGACTTTGAGGGCATGGAGGATATAGGAGTACTTGATTTCGCCGACATTTCCATAGCAGAACAAGAATTGAAGGTTGTCTTTTTGGAAGACCATGCTATCTCTGAAAATTAGTAGCTCGAGTAAAAATATGTGTTAGAAGTTTTAGCTTTTTATTAGAGTATTATTTTCTCTCTCTTTTATCCAAGAACTCTGAGTACTTTCTGATGGAGTATATGGGCCTGGACCCCAGGACCCACATACTCAAGAA